CTCCATCCAGCAGGCCTCATTCCTCATCTCTGCCTGGGTTAGGCCCCTTACCGTCCTTCTTCCTTTTCTCTTCTTTGGACACAGGATCAGAGTGGGGGTATCTACAGGGACACAGGTGGCAGCCCCACTGCTGTGTGGTTAGCCCTTGAGGCCACGCTCAGTGGGCAGAGGAGACCTCTTTTCCTGGGAAGGCAGCATTTCAAGGGAAGACTCTGGAGGTGTTACTGTTTTTTTTGTTTTTTGTTTTTCTTCTGGTACCAGGAATCGAACTCACGACCTTGCGCTTGCCAGGCAGGCGCTTTGCCACTGAGCTAAATCCCCAGCCCCTGGAGGTGTTACTGTGACACCCTCCTCCCCAGCAACCCCCACCCTGTTGTTTCTTCTCTGGGAATCTTTCAGGTGTCAGGTGTGAGATCCTAGCCCTGCAGGCAGGTACCAGCCTCCCAGCTTAGCAGGTCAGCAGCCTTCAGAGAAGGAGAATCAGCAACAAATGCAAATAGCTAATTGGTCTAGAGGGAACTGCTCCGGTGAGGGAAAATCAACAAGTTATTTGTCTTGTGGTTAAAGGGAACTTGGAGAGGATGGACTGGGAGTGAAGGGAGGAAGGTGGGAGGTGGAGTGAGAGAAGAGGCACAGGAAAGGAAATTGTAGGGGTGAAGGGGGAATCTCCTTGCTGTGTCATCCTGCCACCCCACCCCATCCTCGGTGCTGTCTTTCCCACATTGAGTCTCCCTTATTCCATAAGTGGGGTTTTCCCCCAACCCACATTCCCATACAAATCTAGTTAAACATATGATACCTGTCATTTGATGCAGATAGTGACTTGGAACCAGTGTCAGGAGGAAGAAGTTTCTTGGGGCCAGTGTCGTGTCTTGGGCCGTGCAGAAAAACCTGAAGGGGATGAGGCTGGCTTGGGAGGAGTGCCTCTGAGCCCTCTCTCTGCTCTGCAGTGTGAGGCGTGGCCCAGGTCGGGTGGTCACCCACAGGGGAGTTTGCAGCGGTTTTCCCAGAGGGCTTGGTATTTCCCATGCCTCTTTGGTCTCTGCAGGACTCCTGGGGCATTTGCAGAGCTTAGGGGGAACCCCTAGGTGTCTGGGTGGTTTGGGGCAAAACTTGAAGAGAGCGAGGAGATGAATGCGAGCTAGTTCAAGCTCTTCCTGTGGAGGAGGACTTCCTTAGGAAGATGCTGTGAAATAGGGAGCAGGAACATGGTTTCGGTCAGGGAGGTCTGCCCAGTGCCAAAGTGACAGCTGTTTGAGAAGGAATTTCCTCAGCACCTGCAAAGCAATCCATACTTAACCTTAAAGCAGCAGTGGACAAACTTCTAAGATAAGTGTGCATTTTAATCTCTCAGGTGGCATCTCCTGTGGTATCCACCAAGCGTACCCAGCTCTCTGCATTCTTCACTTCCCTTAGGGCTGGCTGAGGCACTGTGGAGGGGATCTTCTTCTACACATGCTGCCAGTCCTAGCAGTTCCTGCCCATCCTGGCCAGTGGGCCTACCCTGAGTGGGGAGGCAGAGTTGGGGACCTAGGATGCCACTGTGTGGTCCAAACACCTGGAAATTGGTTTACCCTTTCTTCTACTCTCCTTGGATGCATTAAGCCACAGCAGCCAACTCTGACATCTCTGGAGCACGTAGGCTCCTGCAGCCAATGGAGATGGTCTCCTGTCAGTAGTTCCTCACCCTCTTCCGACTCTGGCTCCAGCTGGGGCTGGGTTCAGGCAGGTCTCTCCTCACATTCCTCCCTTCTTATGCTGGGCGCCAGTCAAGCCCTGGGGAGACTCTTAGTAGAGTTCCTGTTTTCTCTGTTTCAAATTCCCCACCCTGTTCCCCTGAGCTCTGCTCCAGCCAGGTTTTCTCAGGGTGGGGTGGGGGTGAGCCCTGGGCTCACAGGCCCATCCCACCAGGTGGCATATCTGCTGGGAGCGGAGAAGCTGCTTGGGAAGGGCAGGGTCTCCTAGTACCTGGGAGAAGGAGAATGGTGAGGAATAGGTCACACATGCCAAGATGCAAAAGCCTGAACAGAAAAAGCAGAGTGCCTTTGGGGACCCTGAGGAGACCAGTTTGAGTAGAGCATAAGCTCCTCATCTCATTGCTCAAGGAGGAGGGGCAAGACAGACTGGTCTGGGCAGAGATGGGCCCTAAACCCCATTGAGGCAAGGAGGAGGGGCAGGCTTTCCTGCCTGGGCTCATGCTGGGCTGGCCACGGAAGATTATACCTGCAGGAAGTGTGGGAGGCATTATTAATGTCAGTTTGTTCCCCATGGGCGGTAAGGAGGCCAGGAGTCAAGTGTGATAAGAGGGTAGAGATAAATTCCTGGGTTTTATCCTCAGATAGCTGCTGGCTCTGGGTGGCCTGCAGCTCCTGATAGTCTTATATGTGGCTCTTGCTGTCTCTTCTTCCTGAAATACTGGCTTCAGTCCAGTTGGGTTTTCCCTTCCTGGCGCCAGCTCCAGTTCCCATCTGGGGTCAGATGAGGTCTGTACCAGGGTGGGGTGGGAGGTAGGGGGCAGTCCTGGTGAGACTGATTGTGAGCCAGACCCAGGAGTTTAAAGCAGCCCCAGCCAGGCATATAGCTCAGTGCCGTAAGTGCCTGCCTGGCAAGCACAGGGTTCTGAGTTCAATTCCCAGTACCTAATTAAATAAATAAAGCAACCCCAGACATGGGCCAGGGAGCTGAGCTGAACAGCAACTCTCAGACCTACCTATTCCATTCTAGTTTCAAGGTATCCCTGACACTCAGCCAGAGAGACTTGGGGCCATGCTGGCGTTTGCAGCGTCCCTTTGCTCTAGAACGTTGGAAGGTCAGATTGGTTTGCTGGAAGGAATTGGAAGTGGGGGAGTCTCCAAAACTGTGTAGAATCTGATGGGATTTACATTAGTGAGGATTATTTGGGCTTCTGTGTGGAAAAAGAATTGGAGAAAATTGCTTTAGTAGATATTTCTAAACTCCAAATCTACTAACTTCAGATCTACTAAGAAGCTATGATAGGTAAAAGTTGACAGATAGAGACCGGACGTGGTGGCACAGGCTTGTAATCCCAGCACTCAGGAGGCTGAGGCAGGAGGATTGCTGTGAGTTCGAGACCAGCCTAGGCTACAAAGTGAGATCAAGGCCAGCCTGAACTACTTAGTGAAACTCTGTCTCAAAAAGACAAAAAAAAAAAA